TACAAGATAGAGCTTCTAAAGACCAGTTCCTAATGTATATAATGAAGAACAAATTATAAACATCTAATACTACTATTCATGAAACTATGTAAAATAAGAAATATACAAAATTTTACATTTCTAAGCGTATACCAATGAGTTAAGAGGACACAAACAATTTCAGTTTTCCTTTTTTATATAGTGTGACAAAGAAATGATAGAATGTCGGTTATTCAAATGTTAATTAAAGTCTATTCTTTCAAACTAATCCATTATGATAGTTTAATTGGCATGCACTTATATTATAAATGCTAATAGAAGAAAGAGATAAACAAAACTTATATTGCAATGTAATGATATTTTACAAATGACAGAAAGCGGATAATACAAAATTCGTGTTTTGACAATTGAAAGAAATGATACAAATATCTCCAAAGAGCAGTATTATCAACATACTGCACAAAAGTAAGAAATAATCGAATCGTTCTGAAGTTTGAAAACAGAATACTTGTGTATGTAATTTCAAATGTTCAATTCTTTATAGGAGGAGTAGCCTGAAGCTTTAAGACTGTGCCTGTTCGCTGGAAGGCTGGTTCTCCTCCGTTAGCTCCGTTTGTTCTGATTGCTCAGTCGCATTCTCAGTTTTCTGAACACCCTCGGATTCAACCGTATTCTTATCATCAGTTTTTTGACCACCCTGTAATCAAAGCAATTTGTCAACTATGATGGTACAGTGTTAGATTAATTTACATAGTGCCGATTAAATATACTGGTGCAAAGAATACTTATTATAATAAGTACCAATTACATAACTTACGGAAGCTACAATATTAATAACGATAAAAATCTTATTTCATTGAGAATATTTAAATTAAAATATATAATAACAATTTAAATAAAGAGATAACATATGCAAAGTTCTGCAATGTGTCCGAATATGTTGACAAACTCAAAAATTGTAAAGAATAGATTATTAAAAACTAAGTTATTTAATGATTTCTATGGTTTACTTACTTAATTAAGTATAACATAATTCCTAGCTTTGTGTCAATAATTTTATGAAAATAAAATCTTGTACAAGAAATTACTGTTGATAATANACTCAAAATATATAATAACAATTTAAATAAAGAGATAACATATGCAAAGTTCTGCAATGTGTCCGAATATGTTGACAAACTCAAAAATTGTAAAGAATAGATTATTAAAAACTAAGTTATTTAATGATTTCTATGGTTTACTTACTTAATTAAGTATAACATAATTCCTAGCTTTGTGTCAATAATTTTATGAAAATAAAATCTTGTACAAGAAATTACTGTTGATAATA